TGTTTTATGTCGATTTTCTAAGAAAGTGACGGAATATTTTTGCTCGGGATGTTTTTTTTCTCCAGACCAATTTCGACTTTTTAGTTAGTTTAAAATTTTTTTCTTAACTTTCATATTTTTTGAACACTACTCAAAGACATTTAGGAGCTGTCTGAAAATTCAGAATGTCAACATGAGACGAGCAGTCTGGCCTTCAGAAATGTTCATTATTTTTTTATTTTTTCCTTTTTCCAAAGCGAGTTTTCATCCATAGACCTTACAAAGCAGTCGGAACATTGAGGGCATCACCGTGATAAAAGCAGTTTTTTTTATAGCAGAACTGAACAGCAGTACAGTACAGTATTATTTTTCTACTGTTGCATTATCAACAGTACTACTGCACTACTGTTTTTCTACATCGCATTTCTAATGTTGAATAGTACTGCTTATCGGTAGCAGATTTAGGTGGCGGGGGGGGGGGGCTGGTGCCCCACGGATTCGACATCTCACCAACAAAAGGTTGTCCCCGTTGGTATTACTTTATGACATCAAATTTCAGTTGATCAAAGCTAAAACTTTCTAGAGGAGCCTTCGGCGCCAATATATACTACTTTTGAAGGGAAGCGCGGGCCGATACAAAAGTTTGGTCAAAATTTTTTCCAAAAACTGCTCAAAAACGGCATTGTAAATTTTGTAAATTTTGAATGCGGCGCAAAACTTTATGTCAAATTTGAGTTTTTATAGTGACCTGGGAGCGCTCGGAAAATCAACTTAGTGATTTTTGAAAATCCACTCCCGTTTCGAGAAAACCCTTGATCTGCCAATTTGTTTGATTGCGTGTTTGTATTGGAATTTCTCAACAACCAAACTCAAATTTTGGTCGTACTTTAAGTTCGTAAATTCAAATTTAAGCTGAATTATTTTGAAAAATTTAAATTTGCTTAGGTAAAAGGATGCTTATGGCTGTGTAGAAGCACATAAAATTACCCGCAAAAAATCGACCCATTTTCTCCATGTTTTCGAAAATTTTTATTTCCTCGCTTTTCCTATTTCCATTTTGTTCCAATTTTCTTAGAAATTGACGGGATATTTATGCTTGAAAGTTTTTCATTCGATCATTTCTTGATTTTTAACCAAAATTTTTGAAGGAAATTTATTAAATCATCTGAATGATGATGTCTGCAGCTCAAATTTGACAAAAAAGGTCGTTTTTACTATATAAAATACCAACTTTTCATTTAAAAACAATTTTTAAACAATTTGCAATTTTTTTTGGAGACAATACACTTCTTAAAGTTTGTTGGGCTACGTAAGGGGCTCACTTTGATATAATTATGTCTGTGATTGACTTGTTATTTTTGGCGTAATTTTTGATTAACTAAGAAAAGCCAAAATGACCCATTTTTGGGGTAAAATTTTGGGCTCGAAATTTGCAGTACAAATTACACCATATCAATTCTGCTAAAATTTTAAGCAAGTTTTATATTCATAAGTTTTCACCTTAACTCAACCCAATTTGAGAAAAACGCGTTTTAAATTTCAAGTTTAGCTCGTTTTGTCCGGTTTATTTAAATCAGCACTGTACTAGAACACGAGTCGCTAATACATCCGTTTAAACTTAACATAGAACGTGAGGGGGGATAGAATGGAAAAAAAAAATAAAAACAAGACTGCTTGTATCAGGGCGAAGCCCTGAATGTTCCGACTGCCTTTTAAGGTTGTAATGAGCAGTAGTAACATAAAAAATTAAATGTAAAAAAAACAAAATGAAAAAAAAAAAATTCCAAAAAATTTGAATTTTTTTTAATGAAAATCATCACCCCACACGCCATATAAAATACAAAAAGATAGATTTCGCTGAATGTAAAATAATAAATTATGGCAAATAAGCTTTTTTCAACCAATTTGGAACGATTTCGAAGACGGTTTAAATCTCCGCTTACCCGTTAATAGCGCGAAATAGATCGCGCGTTAATTGTCCCAAATTGGCCGAAATGGCGTTTTTTAAACCCCCATAACTGTACGAAAAATGATCACAGGTAAAATATTTTTTCAAGTTTGAGCTCAGGACAACAATACCTTTCGAATGATATTAAAAAATTCCGTCAAAAATGGCTAGTTAAAAAGTCGAAATTTGTCTGAAGAAAAAACCCACCCCGACCACAAATATTCCGTTACTTTCGTATCGAAAGTCGGAACAATAAATTTTAAACAAATTACAACAAAAATTTTTGAATCAGCCTTAAATTTCAGTTGGAACCGTCAGGACTTCACTTTGATCTACGCGTGTTTATAATTGCTTGGAAGTTTGGAAGGTTTAAATTCGCTGAAATATGACTATGGGAAACAGAACGCTGTTTACTAATTCATCATTGCAAGAATTAACTGAAAATGAAATACGTCAAATTTTTCCAAGTTGACATCGCCGTCATCCCTTTTAATTTAGAAAAGAACATAAAATCATTTCACAATTTCTGCTTCCGTCTTTCGTCACGCGTTTGTTATCTCCAATGACGTAATTAGTTTTTTTCAGCCTTCACAAAAATTTGTGAAGTAGAAAGATGTATAGATAAATATACACATTCCTAGTCCCAAAAGACGACACTAAACCTAATTGTGAAGTCACTTCTCTTTTAGATGAAGAATTATTTGAGTTATTTATGGTGTTATAGAAGCAAAGAAACAACCGAGTGATCCAGTTTTTTCTTTTTGGTTAGAAGTCTACACCCCCATCGTTCACCCACGATAAAAAGAGCTTTGTCATAAATCGGAGATACGGCGGTTGTTTTCGAACACTGATTGTTGCTTGATGACCCAAATTCTGTTGTTCTTTTCAGAACTCAGTTTTCCTCAAACAATCATTATTTTCTCTTTCAATTTAAAAATCATGTTTTTAGAGACAAGGGCGGTAAACATATTTTGTTTTGTTACCGATGTGCCTTATTAACTTGACCCCTTCACAAAAATTGGAGCTGTAATAATAAAAAAAAATTTGTCGATTCATCTACATTAATTTTGAAGACGTTATATTGATGTTTCTAAAATGATCAAAACTGATAGGGATTTCATAATTTTTTTCGGACGAAAAATCTCGACGATAAAATAGCACCATGTTTTGTTTGATGCATTTTCTAGAGCAAGCTATATCAGCCACGAAAGATCTAGATTTCGCAAGATTTTCCGCACGCAATTTTAGGCACCTGAAACAAATGTTGAAAAAATCATTTAAATAAACAACAACAAATTTTTGCTTCGACCAAAAACGACTTAAGACAATAAAAAAGACAATTTGTTATGGTATGCTATAATCAGGAATCGTATTTTTTGGCCCAGCCGAAACACCCAAAAAACGTCGAAAGTGTAACAGTATGTCCCCAAAGTTGGGATATAAAAATACAAATAGGGTATTCTTTCAGTTTTTGTGTGAAAAATACGGGGAAATACTGATTCAGCTGATGCACAAAATACATTTTTGTTGCCGAACACCTAGTTTTCCTCCGGAATCAACACCGAAACTACGCTAAATTACGGTTTCTGGCTATAACTCGATCAGTTAATAAATTTCAAAAAACGCTGGCAATTCAAACCATATTGTCATATGAAACAGTTTTTATTTAAAAGTAATCAAAGCAAAAACCAAATAATTGTTCCGACCATTTGAAAACTGGGGAGGTACTTTGCATTCGGGGGTGTAAAAAAATTTCAATGTCGTGAAAAACCAGTTTGAAATTTTTGATTTTTGTCTATTTTTTTTTCGAGCGAGTAAGGTTCGTTAAAAATTAATGATTTTACCAAAACAAAACTTAGTTTTGGTAACCTCATTCAGCCGTACTCTGTTAAGAAACTTTAAAATTTCTAGTGAAAAACTTTTGAAAAACCTCTTGAAACGTTGTTTTATCTTTTTTGTTTCTTTTTTTTTGAAAACAGTTGTGTGTCGTTTATGCCTAATTCACTAAAACACTCGGGTTTGTATAGCTCTATCATCACATGACGAACAAGAAAAAACCTTTACTTGAAAAAATATAAATTATAATTTTTTGAGAATGTGGTTGGAACATTCTGTGCTACTTGCACAGCAACCGGCTATCCTTGTTGTTCCGACTTTCGTAACGAAAGTAACGGAATATTTGTGCTCGGGTGGGTTTTTTCTTTAACAAATTTCGACTTTTTAACAATCCATTTTTGGCGCAATTTTTTTGATATGATTCAGAAGGTATTGTTGTGCTGAGCTTCAAATTGAAAAGATATATTACCTCTGATCTTTTTTCGTAAAGTTATGGGGGTTTAAAGATTGACATTTTGGCCAATTTGGGACAATTAACACGCATTACATTTTGCGCTAATAACTCGTAAGCGGAGGTTTAATCCGTCTAAGAAATCGTTCCAAATTGGTTGAAGCAGGCTATTTGCCGTAATTGATTTGTTACTAGGAGCAAAATCAATCACTTCGTACTTTATATGGCGTAAAAATAATCTCAAATTGAAAAATATATATTTGATTTTTATAACTTTTACTTTTTTTATGGCATTACTGCTCGATAGATTTTAAAAGGCAATCGGAACATTCAGGGCTTTGAACAGTCTGTTTAGTTTTTGTACACAGCGATTTTAGATCATGTTTTATATCAGATGTATCTCAAAACTGGTTGATGAAACTTTTTTGCCGTTTTCATTTTCAGTTTGACAACCAAAACAACAGTTTTGAATACAATTTTGTGTGACAATGCTAAATTTTTGTCCGACTTTCAAAGAAAGTGACGGAGTTTTATTTTAGTAGTATTTAGTGATAGTTGTTTTTATTCAGACAAATTTCGCGGTTGCAATATAAGACTTGGATCTTGTTAACTATTTTCCCCCTTTTTGGACGTTGTTAACTATTTCCCTCCCCTATGCATGTATTATTTTCGACAACCCGCATTTCTGTATAAAATATTCATTTCAGCATTTCAAAACTGTCAAACATTAATTGGGTTTTCATTTTCGCGCGTTCGTATTTGTATTACTCACTATTTATATAATACCTATATAATAAGTTTCAATTAAATATATTTTCTGAAAATTGTTTCAAGCTATTGATATTGTGGCAGCCAAAGTTGAATTTCTGAAAATCAAACTAGGGGAGGGGGATAGTTAACAAGATCCATAGACTTCAACGAATCATTTTCATGAATCGTAAATTGTATGGCGACCCTTGATTTCAAATGATGTTTTTTTTTTACCTCGCGATCATTTTTGCTAAAGTTCTAATGGTTTGAAAAACGCCGATTCGGCCATATTCTTGGCTCATAAAAGCACTATGTGCGCTTTGATGCGAAATGATGCGGAAAACGCAATCCGAATTATTTATCTCGAGACTAGTTTAAGGGCAGTCCGATTCTTCAGGGCTTTGCCTTGTTATACTGCTGGTTCTCGTTGCTACTTTCAAACAAAATGAGGAGTTTTATACATGTTTGCGGTGGTCTTTTTTATTCAGACCAATTTCTAAAAGAAAGTTATGGAGTAGCGATTAAGCCTGTATTCTTCCGTTTGCAACCTCTCAAGTTTGAATTCCCGCACGGTCCTAATTTCGCGTTTGATCTACATAAACTGCTCGTTCAACACTTTGAAGACTATAACTATGAGGCTAACAGTTTAGCAGGAATTATGCAACCCCTCGCAAACTTTTTTCAATTTAAAATCAAGCTATTTAGACGTTTTGTTACCCTGTACAACCCAAATTTTGAGGAGTCATGTTTGGCATTGGCTATTAAAGTTTTCAACTTTACCAAAATTGTCCTCACCAAAAACTATTGGAGACTAGAGGTCAATCGGAACTTTCGTGGCTTTGTCCTGATATACGAGAAGACTTGTTGACACTTGGGTATTTCAGCGCTGCCGTTTGAAATCATGAAATGCGCATCGCTTAAAAGAAAAAGCTTCTGTCCGGTTCAAAGATTGTCGCAAATGTCATAATTCTACTAGTTGAATCTCCAAAAAAACGTTCATGAAAGGCAGTTTGAACAACCAATCAGTGATCTGATTTGCGATCAGCAATCCTTTATTCTTCATGATTATTCCTTAACTTCATTCTTAACTTCATCCTTATTATAAGATTGCTGTTGACGGAATATTGAAAAGATCTCTACTGGCAGATGGAAACTTGACAGTTTTGTATCAGAGACACGTTGTTCTGAGAAAAAATGTCAACATTTTTCACTAAAAAAGCTTGGGCGCAATCAATATGAACTATTAAAAATGACAGTTTTATTTAACTTTGCAGGAAAATTTGCACTTGTGTATCACTTTTTTTCAGATACGGTGATATGTTTCATAAAATATTATTAGTGAGAAAGTCACATTTAGCCTAAAAATACAATTAGAACGTTCATAAATAGAACAAAAACTTTGTATTAGGACAGAGCCCCGAATTTTCTGACTGCCTTTTAAGGTCGATGAAAAAAACTTATCGTTTCAACTTTGTTTTTTTTTCCGAAAATTTTTTATTCCCAGACGCCGTGTAAATGCTACCTATGAGTACGAGCACATTGCGTGCCTCTATTTAATTTGGAATGATTTAATTTATCGCTTGCGCGTTAGGACGAAAAATTTGGCGCGTTAATCATCCCAATTTGAATTATAGTTGTCAAGCCGGACCCAAATTTGATCCTCCATAACTTAAGAATAAATACTCGTGTGAAATTTCTTTTTTTTTAGCGCTGGGCATTAATGCCTTTCAAAGGTTACGAGAAAATTCTGACAAAAGATGCTTGTTAAAACATCAAATCTTGTCTGGAAAAAACCTCAGGAACATCAATAATGAAATCAGATTCAATGGAGATAGTTTGAGTACATTCCCAAGAATCTACTCAAGAGTAAAATAGTATACAAAAAAAATTCTTTAATCTGCAAGCTTTTATTGTGTGTTATTTTACAGGATTATTAGGATACTTTTGGGTGAAAAAGTTTCTCAAATGAAGCTTATAATTGAATATTGAAGTGAACAAAAAACTTAGTTACATATGGTATGCTTTTTTGACAAGCTTTATAACAACAAGATGATTTAGATCTACTTAAAAACCAACCCTACCCCCCCCCCCCGTGGTGCCTATTAAAGAATTTCTGCCCCTCTAAATAAAAATAGTAATTATTGTCGAACACTCAGGGCAATTTTTTTTTTGAGTATATAAGCTCTTGGTTGCAATTTGAAGCTTCTTTGTTTTCGGGAATTTTAACTTGCCTGCATTCTGATTGGTTGAAACGTCTGCTTAAGAATCTCCTCTTATTTTTTGAAGAAGGAGATTGTTAAGTTGATTCGAACGTTTTTGTTCGGGTTTCCAAGAAAGCGAGGAGTACATATGCTCGGGGTGGTTTTTTTTTTCAAACCAATTTTACAAAACTTTGGTCCCTTTGGGAACAGATTTTTTGATCTGCAAGTGAACAACCAGGTGCGCTGCTAGGCTTGTCTCTAAACTGCTCGTTTTAGAATTACGACGTGTGGCGAGTTATACCGTTCTCAAAAATCGTTCTAAATTGAATCGAGGCAGATAACTGGTTTTTTAAAATCCATATACGACTCAAATTCTAACACTTAATTTTTATTATCAGTCTAAAATTCATAGTTTGGCCAACACTTGTTTTATCAAAAACTATTAAAGACAAATTAAATGGCAGTCCGAACATTCAAAGCATTGCTCTGATACGAGCAGTCTTGTTGTTCCGACTTTCGTACAGACAATGGATATGTGGCACCTCAGTTAGACCTCCGGAGGAGCTACTAAATCCGATTTCATCCAGCATCCTAAACCTCTTTTCAACTTCACCCCTCGCGCCTTCTTCCAATCAGTCACATGACCAAAACGTTCACTCTTCGTCTTTTTTGGACGAGAAAAGGGAGAGTGATAATGAAGGGTTCCGAACAACGCAACAAGTATCGAGGACCAAATCTGCTGACGTCATAGGTGCTACGACGGATACTAAAAGGGGAAGTCGGGGGATAAAAACGGGAATGGGATAAAAAAGAGGGGGAGGGGTGGAATGGGGAAGCCCTGCAACACACTTTCGAACGTTTTTGTTCGGGTTTCCAAGAAAGCGAGGAATACATATGCTCGGGGTGGTTTTTTTTATTCAGACCAATTTTACAAAACTTTGGTCCCTTGGGGACCGATTTTTTGATCTGCAAGTGAACAGCCAGGTGCGCTGCTAGGCTTGTCTTTAAACTGCTCGTTTTAGAATTACGACGTGTGGCGAGTTATACCGTTCTCAGAAATCGTTCTAAATTGAATCGAGGCAGCTAATTGGTTTTTTAAATTCCATGTACGACTCAAATTGTAACACTTAATTTTTAATATGATCAGTCTAAAATTCATAGTTTGGCCAATTCCTTGATTTATCAAATACTATTAGAGACAAATTAAATGGCAGTCCGAACATTCAAAGCATTGCTCTGATACGAGCAGTCTTGTTGTTCCGACTTTCGAAGAAAAGGAAAAATTTATGCTCGGTATGGTTCTTTATTCAGTAAATTTTCATTGGTCGAAATAATAAATTTCAACAAAATTTTTTATACCCCATTGAAGATATCGACTTTTTGAAGAATCTGACAATGAAGATATCAAATGTAAAAAATTGTTTCATCTCCGATTATTTTTTGTAAAGTTATGGGGGTTTGAAACTTGCCAAATTTGCCATGTTCTGAACTATATTATGCGCTTTTCAAGAGTTTATTCATAATGCTGTGAGCGTAACCCGAATTATTTATGCGTGGCGATTTATCCCGCGCAACAAAATCGTTCCAAATCGAATTGAGGCTAGCTAATTGGTCGTATTAACTTAGCACGACTCAAAATTTCACACTTTGATATTGTCCAAAATATATAAGTTTTCGACAATCGGAACATTCAGGGCTTTGCCCTGATATACGAGCAGTCTTGTTCTATCTAAATTGCCTTTTTGATTTTTTTTGAAATAATTCGAAGAACCAAATATTCTAGCTTGTCAATCTAGCTAGCTGAGAGGTGTTTTAAATTAAAATAATGATACCCGCGCTACAATAAAGACTACGCAACAATAGTTCTAACATGGCATTTGCTCCACCTCCTACATTGTCCAAAAAACAGAAAACTGATTCATTCGAAATATAGGTAAATGTGCAAAAACAGGAAATGATGCATCTCTTAATTCTTTGCAACGTCAGAAAGTTTTTAAGCTACAGTCAACTTTTTCTTTCTGTCTTTTTGTTTCTGCTAGTCACTTCCGCTTTTTCCACAGTTCAACTTGAGTTTTTTGCTTTTTAAACTGCTTTGAGCTTACTTGTGCTGCAGCTAACGAACATGGCTCCATCTCATCAAAGGGACTAGTAAACGCAGTGCGGTAATTACAGGCAACGCATCAAAAGAAGTTTAGCCTTTCATGAAGTTAAGGCCGCGACTTTAAATGCTACCAGGCGCAGCAAATAAATCACACCGATCCGGTCGACCGGATGGCCGGCCGGTGCAAAATATGTTTTATTGGGAAGCAAATCTGTTGGCTAGACCTGTAAAAATTTATCCAATTTAACTCAAATTCCTGTGCGGCAGTGAAGGGATAATTATATATTGGGTCTACAAAGTACGGGATCAATTTGGGTAATGGATTGAAGCTATTCTACCTTCAAAACAGCATCGCATACCAAATTAACTCGCTTCGCCAGTGCTAATTGAAGTAAACGTCTGTTGTGCTCTCGTAGAATCTGACCAGCCTATGCTATAGCAGTTGATACTTATTCTCATGTAAAAAGATTAGCAAAACCACAAAAAATCTAAGATTTAAGGTTTGCCATTAGCTATCGTCGGCCCAATTTGGAAAATTTCAATACTAATTTGAATCTCGGCCATAAATTTAATCCATCAACAGATTGAAAGTGAAAGACTGATACAGATGAACGATTAAAAAGAACTTTCATTTAAAGGTCATAAAATAAGTGATTTTTAAATGATAGAGAAACAACACTCTAGGATGAATATGGAAAAAAAACAGCAATATTTTATTATTTTATCGTTTCATTTGAACTTTGAACAACTGATCTAAAACTCTGGTTTTGTTTGATTTAGGTGGTGTACAGACAATGGATATGTGGAACCTCAGTTAGACCTCCGGAGGAGCTACTAAATCCGATTTCATCCAGCATCCTAAACCTCTCTTCAACTTCACCCCTCGCGCCTTCTTCCGATCAGTCACGTGACCAAAACGTTCACTCTTCGTCTTTTTTGGACGAGAAAAGGGAGAGTGATAATGAAGGGGTCCGAACAACGCAACAAGTATCGAGGACCAAATCTGCTGACGTCATAGGTGCTACGACGGATACTGAAAGGGGAAGTCGGGGGGATAAAAACGTGAATGGGATAAAAGAGAGGGGGAGGGGTGGAATGGGGAAGCCCTGCAACACACTGTGTCACAGAGTGGAGCTGCTTTGTCCTTTTCTTAACCCCTCTTTGGCCAGTGGGGGTCGACCTGTATTCGAATGCCCCCCTGTAACTGGTAGGTTGCTTCAAAATATTCTCTTAATGTGAAAAAAAACAGAAGTCTTTCAGCTGGCATGAAACGTATTGCTTTACTTCATAAATGTCTTGGTTTCTTACTTCCCTTGTATAGAAAGAGGCTCCTTAGCTTGTCGCCAGCCTTGTTTTCACGATGTGCTTTTCTTGGCCTATTTTTATCGATTAAAAGAGGCGGTCTGTTTAATTAGATAAATTTAGCTACAGCTTCGTTATTATCAAATCAGATATGTTTGTTTGAGATCAATTAAAAATTGTTTCCTCCCCAAAACAGTGATGAAAATACTATTCAATTCGTGCTTCTGTTTTTTCAGGCGTGGATGAAATAGATTTCTATAGCAATGACCAAAATATGTGTTACAATCCATATCAAAACTCTTCTCTCGACTCTATGCTGCAGACACAATTAGACCTGCAACAGCTCCCGACAACACTTCACAGTCGGAGAAACGCCCCACCCCTGCGAGCAGATTCTTGGATATGGCCCTCCTCACGAAGGAAAAGATCCTCATCGCCTATTGTCACGCTAATCCGGAGAGTAACCAGTAATGCTGCCATTTCGCCGCAGCAATCATCAATCGTACTGGCTAGTTTGGAAACAGTGAGAGGGCTGATGATAGCATTGTTTTATGACAATAACCTCTGGCCCTTCTACGGGGGTTGGAGGGATGCTGGAACGGTGGTTTCAAATTCCTCTGGGGACCAATTGAGTGCCTACTTGTTTTCACGCGACCTTTCACTTGATGAAAACTGTTTACATTATTTACAGCAAAAGCAGCAGCAGCAGCCGCAGCAGCAGCAGCAGCATGAGAATCTCTGTTCACGTGAGGTGGGAGAGGGAAAGATAGGGGGGATTGTTGTGGGGTGTAAATCTAATTACGACTGTCTGCATTGTGTGCGCGGACCCTTATCGCGAGCGAGACTTCTTGAGCGAAATTGCATTTCTACCAGTGAAAGGGGTAAAGAGCCCACATCATTTAGCATGAATGAAAGGCTGTTAAATTTGATAAGCACCCTTACACACGTGGCGCTTTACCTATGTGTCGTATCGTGGATACCTCTTCCTCTTTACCCGTTCAGATAATGAAAAAGCGGGCTCAAATTCGCCCCAAAGAGAGGGTTCTAATTAACAGACTGAAAGCCTTTGGGATTATTTCCAGCGACCCAACCCCCTCTTTGGACCACTTACATCCGACATGTTTACTCCGTCCACAGTCCTATAAATCACCCGCCGCCACACACCAACGCCAAACAACACCTAACACCACCGCCATTGCCGCTGCCGCTATGATCCCATCCCCAAGCTGACCAAGGAGGACATGAAATAAGGATAAAAACTGAAATGAACGGGAAATTTACCCCATGATGTGTTACGTAATTCAGATACGTAACTCTGAATTGACCAAATAAGGATGACTGCACGTCTCCGCATTATCTTTTTTTCTGGGGAAAATTAACAATTAATCAAATAAGATTGTACTAATTATTTCAAATGGGCAGATTTCATAACATGATTCTTTTCAAATTAATATTTTTAAATTCTTTTTGATAAATTTATACATTATTGAAATAAAAATTTTGAAATTGTTTTTCTTTCAAGGTTGTATTTGAATACTGTCCATCGCTCTTCGTTCTATGTTCAGATAGAACATAATGTTCATTGTAGATACAACGCTGTAGAAATAATTTCGCAAAGTTCTATGTCAAACCCCTAAAACCATATTTTTAGTACCCAGTACTGTCCTGAAATCGAAACGAATTTTGTTTAAAAGTCAGTCAACACAAATTTCGAATAAATATATGATTAAATGACCAAAAATATGCCCCAAAACTGACCGGTTTCAATTTATTCTGTTTCCACGTATCAGAAACCTATAAATTGCAGTGCATTGAACGGTTCGAAGAAAAAATTTAAAAACCTCGCTTAATGCTTGGTAGTCAGTATGATTCTGTTATTTAAGCACCAACAATTTGAAATTTTTTTTGAAAATTTATTATGCTTTAGGAAGTTTTTCTTTTGAACTAAAAGTTTAAGTCACACAGCCTGCACAGTGTCAAGTTTAAAGGCTGGGCAGTGCAATTACTTTTAGCAAAACTGACGCCTCAGAGAAAATCTTTGTTGTTCCGACAACTGAAAGTGAACAAAAACTTTGTTTTGTGTTTGGTTTTGGTTTTTAAATTAAATTTCACGCAAATCATGTAATACAGATAAATATTGAAAGGGTTTGAGATGTGCATAAAAACAGCCCTGTAAGTTGTGACTCGAAAAAGTTGTCATACTGTCGAGAAAAACCGGTTTGACTTTTTTGTCAAAATTTGAGCAAATAAAGCGTGCGAGCAGGCTTAAAACAGGAGGATAAGTTTTAACTTAAAGTACGGGAACCTCTATTTTTCCAGAATTTTCTGATAACTTTCTAATGTCGAATATTTTTTTTTGGTTTTGTTCAGAAACATTTTTGTTTGGGTATAGAAATGATTTTGTGGTTGAAACAAATTTAAAAAAAGTTTTTCATCAAGAATATTTACCTCAAATATGTCACCTTTTTGTAGTCATCCAATAACTGCTTATCATGCAACTTTCTTGTGTGGAATTGTATGCAACAGAGGACTTAGAGGTTGGGAGGGTGGACGCCAAAATTCGCCAAAATATATTAATTTTCAGGGGGGAGCGCGCACCGAAGAAACGCAATGTTTTGGTCAAAATTGCCCTAAAAGAACAAAAAAAAACGCCTTTTTTGGCCTGTTTGTTTTTCAGAAACTTGCCTGCGAGTCAAAAAATTTGATCAAAATAGTAATTACGGGAGAACTCAGAAAATCCGCCCCACTCGAGAAAATCCTAGATCCGCCCCTTATTGTATGATAAGCGTTTTTGTGGTATTGAATTATACGACAGTCATTTTTCGTGCGTGGATGTGTGTTTCAGTATATCATTGAAACCATTTTTGAGAAAAGCGAAAATTGATTAGCGCTTCTTTAAAGAAAAACAAAAATTTTGTATTAAGCAATTGGATCACAGATTGAAGCTATTTGAACTTCTCTATGAATCAGCATCGAAAAAAAAACAAAAACAGGTCTTCCAGTTTGATAACATCAATCAATCAAAATTTAAATCAACAAGACTGCTCGTATCAGGGCGAGAGTCTGAATAAACTGACTGCTTTTAAGGTCTATGGAGCAGTAAAAACATGAAAAATTATATAAAAGAAAACAAATATATATATATTTTTCAATTTGAGATTTTTGCGAAAGTCATCCCCCACACGCCATATAACGTACAATGTGATAGATTTTGCTCCTAGTAATAAATCAACTATGGCAAATAAGCTTCCCTCAACCATGGTACGATTTCTGAGACGGATTAAATCTCTGCGTACGCGTTAATAGCGCGAAATATATCGCGCGTTAATTGTCCCAAATTGGCCAAAAAGGGAATCTTAAGCCCTCATAATTTTGCAAAAATTCATCACATGTGAAATATCTTTTCAAGTTTGAGCTCAAGACAACAAACCTTTTGAATGGTAAAAAAAAATCCGTCAAAAATGGCTAATTAAATTTGTCGAAGTTTGTCTGAAGAAAAAGAAACCTACCCCGAGCACAAATATTCCGTTTCTTTTGTTACGAAAGTCGTAACAACAAGATATGATGATACCAAATTATATCAAAGCATATTTTGCTTAATTGATTTCGCACTTTTGAATATTAAAAAATTCACAGTAACTTTTTAACTTTAATGTATCACCAGTTTTCAAATTTTAAACCGTAAAACATGCGGAAATCATATCATGTACAAACAATTACCAATTTATGAAAGATAAAAATTTCAAATTTTGGAGCAAAACATGAATATTATTACGACATTTTTCTTAAAGTCGTTTTCGAGATAAAAGTTTTAACAAACAATTTGTATGCCCCATTAAAAATATCGACTCCCTAAATATTTTTTACAACCGGCCATTTTTTGCAAAAATTCGGGAAGTTGAGTTTTTGGGAAGCAGAAATTGCCATTTTTGTCCATGCTCTGGACTATTTTTTTATGCGCACTTTGTAAATTATATCAAAAATCCTTAAAAAGTAACGCATTTTTTTTACGCGTGGCGATTTATTGCGCTCAACAAAGTCCTTCCGAATTGAATTGAGGCTAGCTAATCAGTCGTATTAATTTCGTGCAATTCAAATTATCACACTTGATCTTTGAGATTGCCTAAAAGTTACAGTTTTTTCAATAATTATAAAAATATATGGATATGGATACTATCCGATACTATTCGATATGGATTGAGGGGTAGTGGAAATTTTCAGGGCTTTGCCCTGATATACGAGCAGTTTTGTTCTGCTTAAGATTTGACAACAAAAAAAGTATAATTTTTGTAAAACTCCAAATTAACTACACCAATATGCAATATTGAAATAAACGTATAATTTGAGCCTAATTAGGCAAAATTTGAACCAAATAGCTCAACCCAATTTAGTGTTAACTGATTTTAAGACTGATAAGTTCTTAGCCAACCGGTATGCCCTAACATTCGGTGTCTAGTTTTTGTTTGCATTTTTGTGCAATTGAATTCAATTGAAGCGTTTTATGGACCCCATCGAAGCGCTCAAACCGTCTCGCACACCTTTGCAGTTGCAATCGTTCATGGGATCAATCCTCAATCTGCATAAATATCTTCTGTTGTTAGCAAACTCATCAGCGCTGTTGAGATCGTTACTCAGCCGGAAAAAGGAATACCTATGGACAACGGAGTGTCAACCTACATTTCAAAAATCCTGAGTGCCAGGCTGCGAACATTCGAGAATTAAAACAATTCGTTCACATTGATATCACAAAAGCTTTCTATGGAAGTCGCAGCGGATTGGGGGCCGCGTTAGAAAAACTCTTGTAAAAATTGGCCCCCAATTTCAGTCGCATCACATTACTTGAACAAATCTGAAAAAAAAACTCAGCAAACGAGTTAAAAATCTATTGGTAGTGTGGAGTATTTCCAAAACTACGTTTTGATTTAAGATCTTTTGATCATAACGGACCATACGGCGCCAGTATTGCTATTTAACGGTAAAAAGAAAGAGCAATAGAACTATGCTTAGACGATTAACAAGATGGCTAGATAGACTAATTTCCTCAGTTTTTCAAGTGGAACAAAAACTTGGGGGTACAAATGGGGTTGGCAGATAACTTGTCGCAAAATCCCAAAAGCAAGCAATGCTTATTTCGGTACACGATGGTTTGTCTACAGTGTCGAAAACCAACTCCTGCTAGAGCGCCCTCGGAACCAACATTCTACTTATATTTCCAAGAGACCCGATATAAAAATAAATAATACCTCAAAAATGAAAGGACCAGCTAACCAGAATGCAATATGCAAACATAGTTTTCAACACACTCGATAGAGGGCGAAGAATCATGCAACGAGATGACAACCAATCAAAAGGCAGAAAGTTGCATACACTGATGGTCATGCGACGGAAATTCAAAAATAGTTGGAGCAAATACTAATTCTAAAGAAAGCAGTGGATGCTTGTGCACGATGGATAGTACATTTAAAACAATTGTCATTTTTTGAATGGCTTTTATGCATAGTCATCAGCGACGGCGAAACTAGAGAGGAGAACAGGAGCACATGAAAGTCCTATACAAATGCAATCACCAATACGATTTATCAATACGATTACTTCGTGTTTAAAGGAGAATTTTTCCTTCGGTGCATCCCAAGAAGTGCTAAGTGTCGACAGTACCCCGAAAATAAAGACTTTTCTCCAGAAAATTTTCTCATCCTGAGCTATTTGGTTAATTTTTTTTGAGCCGCAACTACACGTCATTTGTGAGATGGTGAAATTGAAAGAACCAGACCTCCCATCAAATGAGCACAAAGTGAAAAAATTTTGATCACAAATTGTGAACGACTTCCACGTACGAGAAAATGTCCTATGAATGGACGATAAGCTGATACCCAAAAACTCTGCTCAAAGCAATCAAAAACGGACCGCATTACTACCACCAGGGCAAATCGAACATGTTCACAGCGGCGAAGGATATTTGGTTTTCCTATAAACATAGGAACATAGCCTCAATTGCCGAGAATTGCGGGGAGTTCATGTTGGGGGGTACGAACCTTAAACCTATGTGCATCAAGGGATGAATATGGAAACTAACGTAACCATGGGAGCCTAATAAAGCCTTCCAGTTAAATTTTTGGGGGTTATCTAATTGAATCAAAAACTATGTGATAGTGGCGTTGGATCATTTTTCGCAATGGCCATCAGCAATGGTCAGCAGAACAAACTGTTCAGACAAAACTCTTTGGTTTTAAAATCATAAAGAAATAACCATGGGGTGCATAGAAAAAAACTTTGTGGATAAGCGATCAAATTTTATGTCAAAGGAGATTACATCTTTCTGTAGCAGTGGTATAGAGATAATGCAATCGCCAGTGAATTACCACCGACCACGGAAGAAATCAGTTTTAGCATATGCTGGAGAAGACAAACGGGATCCCTTGGAGAGGA